TGATTTTTCAGGGCAATATGGACAAATTAGAAAGAAATGAAACCTTGATGAACTCTTCTGTTAAGCCGTGAATTCTCTCAACTTTCAATCCCATCTTCATGAACTCGTCTACAAGAACCTCCACACAGTCATAAATCTCATTTTCATGCTCATGATTCCTCTTTGGAACCACCACTCCAATCTCGAAGAAAACCTGTTCTGCTCCATCTGCATTCATTTCCAGATCGAGAAATAGGGCAAGAACTGAATCTTGCACAACAGCTCAAAGGATAATATAGAACCTGAATCAACCAAATTTAGAAAGTTCCTGAGGTATACCCTAAAAAAGTACCACTTGGGTATAAATCTAAACAATGAAAATGAAATACCTTGGCCCTTTGCAAAAAGTAAGGTTCTTTTTTGCTGTAACACTCTAAAAGGAGATGGATTTCCTATTCCAACTCAAATGTGAGAAATGGGTCTCCACATTTAAAATCAAACAAGTTTTGCACTAGCCATTTCCAGGAAAAAAAAAGGGTGAAATTTGGGTAAAATCCCTAGCCTACTGGGTTCCTGTGACTATTTATGATCAAAAGGAAGCTGCCATATTTAAAGAGCTTAACTTCCACATTGCAAGATGGGCCCTTTACATCTGTAAAAGATTAACAATGCTGGCATCTAACAGAACCCAACAACCCAGATAAGAACAAGAAAGAGAAAATGCATCTAAATCTCTAAATATGATGGAGGAGAACAAGTGTCTGAGAAAACGTGTATTGAGGAAGAGGTTGCAGTAGTGGAGAGAAATATAGGATGGGAGAGAAACGTGGCAGTATGACTAGGGAATGCGGTTTCTCTGCTTCTTCGGAAATCACATGTGAAGACACAGGAGCAACCATACCAGTACAGAACTCTGCAATTAAGCATGTGGGCAACGGTACTAGGATGGGTGATGTTCCGGGAGGCTACCGTTCCCCATTTTTAAGTCTATCAATAAAAAATGAACCAAAGGCACAACACAATCCTCCATGCATTTTCGGTTCTAGATATAGATTGGATTCTGGTTTTGGACTAGACTAGAAATGGTGCAATTTGCAGTTGCAGGCTGGTGATGATTGTACAGCATGAAAATGGGAATGAATTGAAACACAGGCGCATGGCAACAAGACAGGATATGTGGTATTCTAAGGTTTTATTTGTACTCGTTCATTCTTTGAGAGCTGTTGAGATTAATAATACACATTAAAGTTCATAAC